CAAGAAACAAGTCATCACATTTCCATTTTTTTGCCACCAGCTGGAGTTTGATCTTTCCTCGTTCCACATTGTCACCAATGGGATCAGATGAGCTTAAGAACAAAAGCGCCTCATCGGATTGCTAATCTAAAGCAATGTCGTGTACAGTGGAGAGGAAATTACAGGGTGAACATTTTGAAACGAGTCATGTCCTGTGATACTAAAACAGCTTTATTTTTTTTTAAAAATAACGTGCCTACAGCTTATTAAAAAAACCACATACTGACAGACACACGCAACGCGACTCTCTTTGTTTAGAGGCCTCTAGTAGCATTCTGCACGCGAGCTCTCCGGAGGCCAGAACTGCCCTAGTTTTGAGCAGGGGTGCTTTTTGATTATCTTTCATTATTGCACCAATCAATAAACACTATTAAGTAAGACGTAACTCTGGCAAAACCGGCACACATCTCGTACTTCAGTCCTGCGTTTTTTGGGAAACGTGCCGGTAGCCGGGGTTGCGTGTACAACGAAGTTAATTAACAACCAGGCCTATATAGTGACCTAAAAATGAGTAATCAGCCACCGACTGAGTAGATGCACCTCTCGTCAGGGAACTGGTTAGAAAAGACCCAAATACAAAAGAAAACCGTTCAGCTGTTGCGTTTTTTCGGTGCCTAACTGCCACGCCACCTTTAGGAAGCACGAGGGCCGGAATGCTGCCAGGTTGCCAAAGCCTAGACAGGAGAGGTCGAGTTCGAACCACGACCTTGCGGTCGGTAAATTCGCGCTCTAACCACTGAGATATCCCAACACTAATGTGTTCAAATGATGCGATCCTAGATGTGACCGCTTTGTTCACCGGTTTTATATACTTCACCGATTTCCCAAGGTTGTATATCTCGCCCTGACCGTCTGGAGTTGTTGTTCAGCTGCCGAAGCGGGCAGCTGTGTTCGATCTAGCCTATGATGGGAAGCAATGTGCTATCAGACAGCGAATATGACTTTGAGGCGCAACTGATAAGTACGGAATCTTGCAAACTCGCAGGATCCAACTGTAAAAATCAGCGAAGCACATAAGAATGAACTCCAAGATCTGTTGGGGACAGCACTTGTCAAGTTTTTCCAGGAATCTCTCTATACAACCGGCTCGTTGCATGATGGTAACGTTGACTGCCACTGTTTGCATGCTACGATTCAAGTTTTCTGCGTTTGGACCTCTATATCAAGGTTAATGAGCGCGTCAGTGGATATAACTCTTCGCTTCCTAGCGCGCTGAAAACGCAGTTAAGAACTGGTTGTGACGATCTGCAAGACTTTTGTGGTACTCTCGAAGCACTACGGCAATCCAACCAATATAATTATGTCTGTTCCCAAAGGTTGGTAAGAGATCAACAACAGCCAGTGCAGTTTGACGCGAACGGACGGAAAACGGGATATCTATTTTTGCGAGCTTATCGGACTAAGGAAAGTCGAACAAGTGGATTTAGGGCGAACGGTCATCTGTAATCTCGCAAAAAAGGGGGATGATCATATCGCTTGTGCAGTTAAATTGAGGTTATATTTTGAAGAATGGTGCGGTGCGGCATGACGTGACCGATAAAGTCCAAGCAAATGGTTATCCTACGAATTCCTCAGAATAAAGACCAGGCGGAGAAAACTATTGTCCGGAACGCAAGGGGATATAAAACTGTGAAAACTAAAAGTAATTTTAATCACCGAAGAATCCCAATGGCAGGAAGAACGAGTGACCAATGAGAAACGAGCAACTTGTAGAAACCGGAGGGAAATAGCCCAATCGGAAAAGTTTGCATGGAGCGAGTGACTACGGATTGCATCACGGTTGTGAATCCAGACGCTCTACAAACGGTTGCATGTACAAGGGAGAATGCGTACGTAAGCAACCTTCAGAGTATACTGTGAGTGATATCCTTTCGGAGAAAAAACGGTGTACTGTGGCGCATTCGGTTCCACAATACGTGGTTTGAAACGTTGCGCAGTGCTTGTCGCAACCAGTTCGTAGTTCAGGCGCCGGTAAGGTATGGACGAAAACTGGTATCTTGCCTGCAGCACTCCACATGCGACTGGCCGGAGGAGCTGTGACAGGGAGTTGATCACGATTCAGAATTTCTTCCGACAATGTCCAAGATTTTTCTCACGAAAGCTACCGTAAGATTCGGCAACCCTTTTGTGCTGATTAAGGAGATCCATTACAATGACTTATTGATCTGTTGTAAACGTCCCAGTATCGGGATACCTTTCTGCAGATCCAAGCGTGTGGCTTCCGCAGGTTGAATATGTGGGGGTTTATATCCTAAACCACAGTTCATTCTCAAATTATGCTGTGGTAATGGACTTTGTTGCACAGAGCATTCTTTTGACCGGAGGTCAACATACTATTGTAGCTACCTCTCGAGTTGTACATTCCCCAAGAACGTGATGAGTAGTCTGAGTGTCACCGCCATAGTAACAGAATGCGTGGGTTTTCAGGTAGGTAATACGTTGATGACTGAACAGAATGGCCTTTCCAAATTTCACGTGCTCAGGTCGCGTTAACAAATGCCATTCATTTCTGTGTGTAATGTAGCGGTCACTTTTACATACTGTTTTGCAGGTGCGCCGTGTCATATGTAATATTTGCCTCAAATCTATTTACATACTGTTTACTCGGACCACGCCGACAGTCCTCAGGAACACTCTACAGAATGAAAGTCTCAGCAGCACTCCACACCGTGGAGTGCATAATCCGGAGATTCCCAGGTTGACGTTTTTCAAAATGTGGGCCTGCCTATTTATATGTATGCCCATCTGTTTAGATCTGAGTAAGTCCAAGTACTCAGGAGTACGCACCCACAGGTCTGAAGTAACCAGAATGGGAACGAAATGGGCGCATTCACGAAGAGCCATTGTTTCCACGCTACTGATTTCTTTGAAAGTAGCACAAATTAATTAGACGATTGCGCTACCGCGGTGGTCAAGATAGCCTAAAGTGTGCTGTCATTGAATGTGCGAGTCGGTTGTTTCACCAGACGAACGCGCACGATTGTTGTGATTTTTTGCATGCGGGGGACGCAGAAAAGTAAACGAAGGTTCAGGGGGAGCTTCATACTGTTCACACCAACCCAGATAACTTTGTGCTGTCTCTTCACGCGGTCTGCACTTTCGTTTTGGGTTTATATCTTGGGAAAACCATACGGTATGGGGTAAAATGTCGCCTGTGTAATGATTTTAAATCGCATTAATTGAACCTTCAAGTAACAGTACTAACGCAAGTATACAGAAACCCGAGCCAACTCATCTGCCGAACTTGGCTGATGGGGAGTGGATGCATCTGACCAGCATATATTGTTGGTTGGGCAGGCTACACTGAGCTGAGGAACTGATAAAGTAACTTAGAAACGACAGAACCCAGCATCCATGGATTCACTTCAGCGATGGAGATAGTCAGTTTACCTAGATAAACAGTCTCGACTCGTGAAACGAGAATGGTTTCCATAGTACTTGTGACCACGTCTAAGTGCATACCATATATGTTGGATGCCGCACCAAAAAATAAGGTGAAAGAGGAACACTAGAATACCCGCACCACCGTAGGTTGGGACAGTTAACTGAAGTATTCGACTGACTTCCTTTGGAGTGATACGAGATCTATGAGTTAGAGTTATACGCTGCCTGGTGGCGTTGGACGGATACGACAGGTCTCCATTGAAGTGGTCAAACCGAGTTTAAATCCTCGTGTCTAGATTGACAAACAAGCAGTTGAATGGGCAAGTTGATTTGTTTTGCTGAACAATCCCCCCAACTGAGCAACGGGTGTAGCCACGGCGAGTAGCTGACTGGGACGAGGTCGGTTCGAGACTGACTCCAGTTTAGCATAGAAGTACTACTCACTAGATTTTGCATTCTAACCGAATGACAAATCAGGTTTAATATGTGAAAACGCTTCTAGTTGAAGTGAGAGCAGAAAGCGTGCTTCTCAGTGAAAACCAACCATGTGCATACGAATCAAACAGACGTAGCCACATCCATGGGTGCTGCCAAGGTGTGCAGAGGCATTCTACATTACCTAATATAAACGGACAATTCCCGCACCTTGAGACCAGGTGAACCCTGCAAGTAATACGAACCAAAGAACCATCTCTCAGCCTATATCTTTGTAACACTCATGTACCTAAGTTCAGTATAAAGTGTTATAAACAGCGTGTGTGCGTTAGTTTCGGCCATAAGCTAACATAATGTGTCGATGAAAACGGTGATGAACACGTATCTCCAATATGGACCTAGTCATTCCATTCCATCCAGATCGTCTCTGGTCTAACCCACCCAACCAAAACGGTGATGAACACGTATCTCCAATAGGGACCAAGTCATTCCATTCCATCCAGATCGTCTCTGGCGTCTTCTAACCCAACCGAACTAGTTGTTCAGGCCACTGCTGATACAGACTGACCTCAGTTAGCCCTGTTGCAAGCGCACAACACTAACATCCGGTTTACTCGTATCCTGGCTTCTACTAATTCTTCGGTTTTGCTGTTCTTGATAAAGCTGACCCCCGGTAACCGAATCATCGACGCTAACGTGTAGGCCCCACTCAACAGCGCATTGATGTCTCCTCAAGTGGTGACCAGACGTCTGTAAGTCAGTTGCCAAGCTGGGCAGGCGACCACCGACCAATCCACTTGGTGATTTCCATTCAATACCAGTGTTGAACCACTACTAGCGCACCTGGTAGTCTCTGGCATGACCAGACCGCTCATGAATTACAAACCAAACAAACTCCTGGCATAACCGTATTTTCTCAGGCGCAAAACATGATATTCCGGTCACTGAACCGTAGAGCATGCTTCCAGTGTACACAAAACACGTCTGCTTCAGTTTCACAGACACCTATTGCAGACAATTTGACGGAGTAGATGTGGAAAATCCCCGGGGATCCATTGCGTCTACGGAAAAAAGATTTCATTGTACTTGCATTCATCCATTCACCGAAAGGATCTGAGTACAGAAACGTGTTGTAGACAGAGAAAAGACCTACCGAATCAGTGTATCTGTTTCAAAAATAAACATGCGTGATATGGAGCGCAAGAACTTAAGAGGAACGAGGGACTCTAAACTAAAGTACAGGAAAGATGCATGTACAAATTTGGGATAAAAAGGACTGAGAATGCTGATTGGCGAATGGCGCTGAACGGCCCGCGAAACACCCGATGTTCAGCCTGTGAAAAGAAAGCGGTAGTGAGTAATCGATTGTATTCGTCAGACTTTTGCAAAAATGCATAAATTGTTGCATTTTGTGATAGAGATACCCGAAGAGCTGTCAGTCGCCTTACAAAAAGAGATTGTTACAAACGAATTTCATTAGTTGTATTTCACCTTACAAACAACTAAAAACGGTTCAATTTTATTTTACAGACGCGAGATACTACTGATAAGGTTGCTGAAAACCGTTCGATAGCCCAGGACAGGTTTCTCCATTCTTGGGACACATCCAGTAGGTTCATTCACCGAACTCCAGTTCTACTTAGACCCAAATTGGACGGAATTCGCCAAATTCTCTCATAAGAGAGAGATTCGGCTGGATCCGGTTGAATCTCTTGTCAGAACCTAATTCGTATGCAAATAGGGTCTTAACTTCATCTTTGGCGGTACAAAAGATGCCCTCATGACGGAAACATTAAGACATCTAAGATGTCATTAAGGAGGCAGAAGCGTATGTGTCGCATGAGACTAGCAAAAATGCTGGAATGAGTAACGGAAGTATGTTTCTGACGTCAAGGGTCACTTACCCGGGGAAGTATCCAGGGAGAAGTACAGGTAGACAGGCTACAAACGGAAAATATGCAATGTCCAGAAAAGAGTTGCCTCGGGAGATGCCGACCAAAAGAGTTGAAATAATGTCATCCAACAGCGTACACAGTGCTGAGTAACTGAAGACTTGCAAATGTTGGGTACTTTGTAATACATACAAGAACACACCGCTGTATGTATGGAATCGTTAAACAAATCTACGCGTAACGGACGTACCACATCGGGTCAACAGAAAGAACCATTATTTGGTTAGCAACATTTCTATACGACAGGTTCATTTTGTCTAGAACGAATAAATGTGCCATGGGATTTTTTTTATAGAAAACTTGTACTCGTCATTTCGCAAACGTGGACATTCTAAATGCAGATTTTAGAGGGTGACCTTGAGGATCCTACTACGTAGTCATCATCATCAGCTGTAAGAATCGCGTACTTGTCGTACAGTGGTNTGGTGGGAACACCGGATCAGCAATTCTGAAGTACGTCGAATGGTATTCGGGAGAAATAACTCACCCTTGATAGATGAACTGATCACACTGCACAGGTTGCGCTGGCATGGCCACGTGCTGAGTATGCCAGTCGACTGACTTCCTCGAAGGGCTTTTTCGTACAACCACGTGAAGGGTGGAAGAGAGCCAGGGGCGGTCGAACAATGACTTGGCAGCGAAGTCTAAAAGCCATTACCAGCGAACTCAGCTGCGCTGGTGATTACCGTCTTCCTGGATGGGGACCCCGAGACGGGCCACATCAATGGCTAGAGATATTGTCAGGCATGGCCCAGTCGCGCCCTCCATGGCGCGCATACATCCAAGCTATTGCTTTCCGACCTCATACTTGATAGTTCACCTGCAGTGGTGTACTTACACACTAATTTATCAGTTCCCGCCTCCAATCCGCAGCTTCCTACCCAACCTCCCCGAGTCATCGGTGAACGAAACCGTGGCAGGTACAACCACTGTAGGACAAGTACGCGGTTATTGCAGCTGACAATGATGATGATGATAATGATTTGGGGAGGTGAGGTAAGTAGCTGCGCATTGGAGGCGGGGGCTGATAAACTGGCGCATAAATAAAGGGTTATCAGTGGACTTTTAACTGGTAGGTTAGGAAAAGGCGCTATGCACTGAAGACAATAGCTTGGATGCACGAGCGCCATTGGGGGCGCGACTGGACCACGTCTGACAATGTCTCTAACCATTGATGTCTAGCATCTCGGGGTCCCCATCCATGGAGAGACGGCAACGGCCCAAGCTGGGAAGTCAAAACTCAATTGAAGATGCGGCGAAAACGGGAGACTAAGTTCCCCGAAAAACTGGTCGTTGAGCCATGTGTAAGTTTTTACACGCGGGAAAGGTGGCAAACGAAACATACCAGTTTTGAAAATCGAACGACCCACCTGACGATGAAGAATCTGTGTTAGAGCTATACAAACCCACAACGAACCGGACCTATCGGGGTAATCAACATGGTCACCGTAAAGATTCGTACCAACCTCAGTGAAAACTGACACTTAACAGCCGTGTTACGAAGCTGTAACTTGTGAAAGACAAACCACGAACAAAAATACCTATTCTCATAACGGAAACTACTCACAAGGTTGCTGAAAACTCTTGGACAGCCCACGACCGGTTTCGCCCTTCTGCTTTGGCCTCATCAGGTAGGCGCAGTCCCCGAATTTCCGTCAACGTTATGTTCTGCTTGAACCCAAATTGGACTGTTTTCGAGAATCGCACTGATTCGCAAATGATTCAGTTGTAGAACAGCATAAACGAGAGATTCAGTTGAGTCTCTCGTGAGAACCAAATTGATTTGCAAATGAGTGTATTTGTCGAAAAATACCTATTATTCAGCTTACCACCTGAACAGAATGTTAGCCGCATGATTCAACCAGGATACCAGCCCCATCCTGTTCTTAGTTATGGACCATCGTAGATACATCGAGAACAAGTGACTGCGTCAAGATTCGACTAAACAGATGTCAGTAAAACATAGATACAACAACGGTTTTCAATAACACAAACTGAGGGGGAGAATCGAAAGGGGCAAAAAGATGACCAACCTTGTGATCCCCTACGGTGGAATCCTTTGCCAACATATCATAAGTAACTGGGCATGTACTTTCCGACGGTTCAATTGGAGGCCGTAGTTTCACCAGCATATTGGGAGAAAACAATATGCGATCGCACCAGGCAGGACAACGGGTTCCTGCGTACGCATGAGGATTGCTTGAAGCCATGTCAAATGGATAACTGTAAAGGAAAGATAGGCATTCTTCGGAGAAGTCGAGAGTAACAAACGAATCCGAATAATGCAGCCATGATCCACACCTGACACCTAAGTGAGACAAACTACCCCAACCACTGAGTGAATGTTAAATTACTGAGGGGCGTTTCGTGTCAACACAATCGCTGTGACATTGAGTCGGATGGAAGAAAGATTGGCGGTCAGTGCAATTTGAGTATAAAACGAAAAAAAAACATTCCTAGGTGGTAGGACGCGCCCAGACATGAAAAAAAGCACATGTGCAGAGAGCGATGTATCCCCAAGGTCACCATTGGTACGACACTTCCGGAAGGTAGGTGAGTTGGCGGGTCTCACCAAACACGGCTTAGCAACATACGACCAGCGTAGTGGACCTGAAATTGTTCACAATCGGAACGCCACCACTGGCTGTACGGAGCGAACAAATGAACGACCATATTTGGCCATTTAGTCATCCTATATATTTGCGCATATGCTCTGTATGTTTTGTCCTGACAATACAGCCGTGTCCCGAGTTCTCTGTCTTCTCCCTATCGCGTAGTCTGGCAGGCTCAGTGCAGGCGTAGCCAATAGACGGCCACCCACTATACAACGCTATGTCACGGTAACAAACCCTTGTTAACTCGACCAGTCAAAGTGTTTTGAGTTAGAACTAGATGGTGAGTGCAAGAAGAAACATACCGGACAAGTATATAACCCATGCAGTGCTCTATTTTACTGCGGTTGGTGTCGAAGATTGCAGATATCCATGCGAGATGACAAATGCTGAGTTGCATAGGTTTCGTTCTGGGTCCAAACTCGGACAACTTACGTCAAATTAGTCGATCAATCGATGCCCCTAACAAAGCTTCTATCAACTCATCATCTCTGCGACCTGCAGGTCGCCACGAATAGTCCCCATGAATCACGCACCTATTTTAGCTTTTGTGATCCAGATCCATACTGTGTTGTGAATGCGTTGTTGTGCTAACTCCTCGAAGCATATAACCATGAGTGAGTCAAACCTCAACTGAGTTCCACAAGACTTGGTCACGTGATATTCAGGCTTGAACGACCACAGTTAGTTCTAGCGGCCTATCACAAGAGGAGGTGTGTTTTGGAAGAGCGAAAATGAGAAGCAATGCGGCAATAAATGGACCAAACTGTGTAAATTGATGGCTGCGGCAGGTAATAAGTTAGTTACAACTCGGAGGAACAAGAGTGATTCCATTCTGGATTCGCCCATTCCAGTTCGTGGTCAACAGCTTCTATCGCCAGCTACGATCCAGCATCGTGAGACAGAACTTATCGATAAGATCGAGCACATTCTTAGTAGGTGTTCAGGGCACGGTGACGTGTTAATCCGTGAACATTCCTACTCC